CTGTCCATGCTTGTGTTATTGCTGTTCTTGCTGTTGAACAACGGTTTAGTGCCGATGGAGGTAGCAATGATACGGCCGTGAACTAGTTTGGCTTTAATTGGATAGGAGTGAGTACACAACGGGCAATGTGAGGGAATGACCGATAGCCAGTCCGTGGAGGGGAGCACTTGTACCTCTCAGCAGTCGGCCGTGGAGTGAGGGCGAGTGGGTCGCTGGGTAGGCCTAGAGAGGGCAGCACTTAAGTGCCGCGAAATATGAACTAAGTTGGCAGACAGTACAGGCTGTCTACACTTGTTGCCAGACAAGCTGTCCATGCTTGTTGCCAGACGAGTTACAGGAAGTAACGAATAGTTTACCACGCCGAGAATACTGGCATCACAACACTCACGCAAAACACTCACAACACCCAACACTCACAGCACTCACGCAACACTCACCAAAACTCGCAATACTCAACATATATTGTAAATTCTTACACCTAGTTATAAAGTCTGGCCATCTATCCAAATGTTCCAATGATCATCTTCCCAGCTTGTGATTTTCCATCCATCTGCTATGTTTTAAACTTTTAGAATGTCCATTGAGCAAATCTCAAATATCATACGTTAAAGATAGGTTTATTATTGGTTTGGTTAAAGTGATTAGTGAAGCACAATTACTTCTTCCAGATATGAAAACCCTGCTTATTTATCTTAGATTTTTCTTGTGACTGGATTCCAAGGCTTTTCTAATTTGCAAGACGATTTTTTGTTAATCAGGCTGATGCTGAAAGCCACCCACTGGCCGACAGCCTCGTTGAGCTGGCACTTGGCATAGAAAGTGTTCTAGTTTCCTCTTGAAGACATTCTACATTTGTTCCAGCAATATTTCTGATATTAGCTAATGGCAGGTTGTTGACAGTGATCTCTTATTGTGCCCATGAAGTTCTTGCCTGTTATTGGATGTTACGTATGAAGGTATATAGCGTTCCATAGGTAACCTCTAATGGAACTAAGTAGTTAGTGGGCCTGTTGGTTTAGGGAAACTTCAGTGGCAACAAGAGTCTTTAAAACCGATGTATTTAAGTGTTAACCATTTCTTTCCTATAGGGTGGCCAAAATACAAAGTAAATTTTTTTTCTCTTTAATAATATTAAAGGTTTTATAAAATCTAATTTCATATATAAACGATCGTCAATTTAACAACCAAGTATTTTTTATTTTCCTTTTACATATAAAAGATACTTCTATACATACATACGTGGATAACTATATTCTTGTCTGTTTAAAACAAATAACCAAGGAATGCCGTATGACATAAATCATGACTTTATAATATTATCCACTTCAAATTATCTGTTCAAATATTGTCGACGTTCCATACAAGGGTCGGGTTAATATTAGAGACTTCTAGAACATTAGAAGTTACTCTAAGCGAGAGCGTATGAGCGAGTAGTACTCGGAAGCAAGTGAGTAGAGCTACTGCATACATTAATGAACGGTCACGCAACGTCAAGTTGGATGACGTGAGAGAGCAGAGGTTACTGAATACACAAAGAGCAGTTCAACTTGTGGTACAGTAATACAAGAAAACCACACCTATAACAATATGAAAACCCTATCAATATATACCTTTGAAGAATTTCGAGAGTATATCTTCTCTCTGAGCCCGGCCATGGGTCAGGCTCGTCTGGTGCTCTCCTGGTCAACCAGGCTGTTGCTGCTGGAGGCCCGCTGCCCCTACATATCCATCACAGCCTGGTTGATCTGGCACCTGGTGAAGATACTTGTCTAGTTTCCTCTTGAAGGCTTCAACACTTGTTCCAGCCATGTTATAATATTTACAAAACCAATTGGAGGACAAAAATGATAGATAATACAAGGTCGGACATTTCCATTTTGGCTTTTAATGGAGATAAGCGCGATGTAATATTAAGTAAAATAACAGTGATGAACATAATCATAGGAGCGTTTATAGCATAACATTGGATTTTGAACTTTCTCCCGTATCTTTCACAAAAAAATACATTCCAAGTGCTTCAAGGTGTTCCCAGAAGATCCAATACTTTGGCTATGCTGTCAGTAAACGATCTTTGCACATTTTCTAATGTCTGTCCTGCCATGACCAGAGCTGTGAGCACAGAACAATATTTTTGCCATAAGCAACAGTGATTTAAATATTATCATTAGAATTATTTATTTGATTTTCAAAGAACTCATTATCCGCCCAGTAGTTTTCTGAACTTTGGTGAGCCTACTTTGTGTTCTCTACATAAGTTATTCTAATGTCATTTATCTGTCCTGTAAATTATGACAGATAATATGGCTACATTCTGTATTGTGTGCTTTGTATGATCATTGTGTATTCTATGATCGATTAAAACTCCTTATTCTTCCTATATCTAACTGAAATTTATCACTACTGGACATCATGTTATCTCCATTCGTCCACTGAAAGAGCTTGTTAACTTTGTGCTCAGTCAACTTTCATAGTCATTTTGGTATCGTCCACAAAGGGTATGTGGCTAGTGTCTACCATGAGTGTGTGACCAGTGTAAGGGAACCAAGAGCGTGTGTTGCTAACCTGAACTTTGTACTCTCTTGTAACTAGATTTTTATTTTGCTTTCATCCACTCTGTTGTTTGCTAGACGTCTGAATATTCATTTTCCTACTTATCCTCTCAGTCATTATCCTCATGTTATAGGATATAATGGATTTCCAGAATCCGTGAAAACATCTGCGTTTTGGCTTTCTTCCAAAGCCTCAGTGATTTTTTTTTCATTATGATCCAATATTTGTGACAGAAATTATCTTCCTGTTCAATATTCATGTTGAATTGGACTGTGTAACCCATACTCTTCCACAGAACAGTAAGTTGGTATCTCGCCACCCTTTTACAAACTTTTATGATGTGCGATGTAGTGAAATTGGTCTCTAATTATTTTTCCCATTGCTCTACTGCCTCTTTTGTGAAGAGCTCCGTCTGCACTTTTTAAGGATTCTGGAACTTCACCTGAATTAAGGCTCCTCCAAACAACGATGAGTGCAGTTAACAGCACTTATTTCTTTTTAGGTATTAAATTCTAGGAATTATGCACAGCTGCTGCATGAATGGGCATGCATGTAACATAGAAGATCTATGTTATGCCAGCAATATAATTTATGGGGTGGGTAGAGTTAGTGAAGAAATTCTGTCTTTAGTTCTCAGGGTAGATCGGACTGTTGAACACTGATTCATAATGTTCTTTTAGAATTTCGTCATCAGTGCATGAACCAACATTGAGTAGAGGATCAAATAATTGCAAGTTGCACTGTAAGAAAAACATTTCAGGAAGACCTTTGAGTCATGAACTTTGTCCAGTCATTCTTATGGAATATAATCAATATATGTACTATGATTTTGGGCTGACTTTATGATTAGAAAAAATCAGCTGAAAAAAATTAGTTTCTAAATGTATCGTCTTTAGCATTATCTTGGCTTTCGTTCACATTTCTAAAATGCACCAGAATAACGAATATTTTCCTTATATAGTAAACTCTAAACTGAGAAATCGCTTTAATGTTCGGTCAGTGGAGGTTATTCTATAAATTCCTTAAGGAGCAAAGTCAGAATTAGACATGTTTTAACTTTACACCAGAAGACGGTAGGTATAATGTTTGTCAGGAAACAGGACAAGTGTTTCCTGACGCGGGTCTTACGACCCACAGCTGAAGCTTTGGCCATCTGACCGAGGACTTTAGCTGGCTTACCGGTCTATCACTTTAAAAATCATGGGTATGATTATAACCATTAGGAGGATTACTTACCAGAAGAAGAGATGGTAAAACTCTTGTCTGTCAAAGATTTAACAAGTGAAGTACCAGTAAAATAATTGGTAACACTGGAAATGGAAGAACAAGAAACATAATTCGTCACAGCTAGATTCCACTGCGGTATATGCTGAGAACGATATCTTAAAAAAAAATCTGAAATATATAGTGAAACTGATTTTTTGGTTAAACTTTGTGTGAGAGCTTTTGCTCGGAATGTGTGGGAGAAATGGGGTCAGCGAAGTGGGAATTTCGCTTATAAAAAAAATACTGATGTAGAAATTAAGAGTAAGAATTAGAAAGAAAGGCAGTAAATATTAAGATGGAGGAGAGTAACGCGAGTAGGAACGTAGGAAGTGTTGAGATGGAAGAGTAAAGTGAAGGAAGAGAGAGGGTTAGATGAAGGGGAGGTAGGAAGTGTTAGGATGACGGGGAGGTAGGAAGTGTTAGGATGACGGGGAGGTAGGAAGTGTTAGGATGACGGGGAGGTAGGAAGTGTTAGGATGACGGGGAGGTAGGAAGTGTTAGGATGACGGGGAGGTAGGAAGTGTTAGGATGACGGGGAGGTAGGAAGTGTTAGGATGAAGGGGAGGTAGGAAGTGTTAGGATGACGGGGAGGTAGGAAGTGTTAGATGCGGGGAGGTAGGAAGTGTTAGGAGTAGACGGGAGGTAGAAGTGTTAGGATGACGGGAGGTAGGAAGTTTAGGATGACGGAGAGTAGAAGTGTTAGGAGACGGAGTAGGAATGTTAGGATGACGGGAGTAGGAAGTGTTAGGATGACGGGAGGTAGGAAGTTTAGGTGACGGAGGTAGGAAGTGTTAGGATGACGGGAGGTAGAAGTGTTAGGATGACGGGGAGGTAGGAAGTGTTAGGATGACGGAGGTAGGAAGTGTTAGGATGACGGGGAGTAGGAAGTGTTAGGATGACGGAGGTAGGAAGTGTTAGGATGACGGGAGGTAGAAGTGTTAGGATGACGGGGAGTAGGAAGTGTTAGGATGCGGAGGTAGAAGTGTTAGGATGCGGGGAGTAGGAAGTGTTAGGATGACGGGGAGGTAGGAAGTGTTAGGATGACGGGGAGGTAGGAAGTGTTAGGATGACGGGGAGGTAGGAAGTGTTAGGATGACGGGGAGGTAGGAAGTGTTAGGATGACGGGGAGGCAGGAAGCGTTAGGATGACGGGGAGGTAGGAAGTGTTAGGATGTAAGCACACACCTGACGTCCTCGCAGTGAACACAGCCACCAGCCCTCCAGACCAGCAGTGTTTTGTTCAAGTACAGTAAGAACATCGTTACGACGGAAGGCCAGCTCGTCTGGGGACTCAGCCACGTTGTCGTAGAGAGCTCGGGCCATACAGTTCTGTAATGAAACCACCACAGTGTTAGCTATGTAACAGTAAGTCAGTGTAGCTTTATGTCAGACCTCCACTCTCTACCATAATATCGAACATTTCACTAATACGCTAATATATACTTACAGGAGGGCCCCGCTTATACAGCAGGTTAGGTTCCAGGCTATCGCTGTCAAGCGAAAATTGCTGTAAAGTGAAACATGGCCTTTTTTTTCACTTTCAAATGCATTTAAAGCCTGATAACATGCTTACACCATTAAATATTAAGTGAGCAATAAAGCTAGGTCTAAAAAATGCATATACACTATACATTATTTGCCTAAAGATGTTTTCATCCTTTGCTTATAGTGAGTAGTGAATATATTTATTGTAAGAAATCTGAATAAATGAAGAATGGGTATAACTGAAAATTGCTGCATTAGCGAAACGCTGTAAAATGGGGTTGCCTGTAAAATGATTCCAGTAAGGGGCTCTCGAGCTAAAAGAAAAGCTGGAACTACCCTCCCCAGGACTGAACTTGATTCTCTCATTCCCTAGTGGTGACCTGTAGGTTACCTGTAGACGGTTTCCTGGGTCACAGACACCACGCCTCGCTTCAGAGCTCTCGTTTGTTTCCTCATGAATTTAATAATGTGTGTGTATGTGAATGTGCGAGGAAGGAAAAAACACTTATCAGCTGTGTTTCACTGTAACCCAAAGTTTAATTGCCTTCATTAACCCATTTCAGCATCACTGTCACCACACTACTACACTGACTGACTAGTTAACTAACCATTCTTCACTCGTCAGCAAGCCATGCCCTGTGCTGCATGTGGCGCCACTGTTAATATAATCTGCTAAACAATATGTACTAACTTGCTTACTCAGTCCACTAAGTCCAGCACAGGTAAGCCAGTGGTCGCTGCTGCTCTAACCTCAGGTCAGCCCACTATATATTATGTACCTAAGCAAAGTTTGAACACAATATAACAGCAGTGTGGTAAGGAAAATTCATACCAGCTACCAGCGTGGTCAGGACAATAATATAGTAGCTACCTCAGTGTGTTCACGACAATAATATAGCTACCTCAGTGCGTTCACGACAATAATATAGCTACCTCAGTGTGGTCTCTACAGTAACATAACAGCTACAAGTGCGACCACTGGGTAATTGCACATAAAATACGTGAAAAAGGAATAACTGGGAAGGTGGGAAGATTGATTTTTAACTTCCTCACAAACAGAACCCAAAGAGTAAATAGAGTGAGATCCGGGGTTGCTACAGTGAAAAGTTGTGTTCCCCAAGGTATGGTACTAACTCCACTTCTCTTTCTCATTCTCATTTTTGGCAGACAGTAGCATCAATCATAGCACTGTATCAGTTTTTGCAGACGATACTAGAATCTGCATGAAAGTGACATCCACTGAAGACACAGCAAGCCTCCAAGCTGATATAATCCAAGTCTTCCAATGGCCTACTGACAACAATATAACGTTCAATGAGGATAAATTTCAGTTACTGCATCATGGAAGAAAAGAAGAAATAAAAAAAAAAGATAGGAATACAAAAACTTAACCAATCGATAGAACGTGAGTCAAATGTGAGAGACCTAAGAGTTATGTCAGATCTAACGTTTAAAATGGAGGAATTTTGAAACCCTCCTAGTATGTGATAGAAGGGCCTTTTCTGAGACCACTTTTCCCCGATTTTCTTTTGTTTGTCTACAAATGGTAAAAACTAATGTGAACCGTCTGGAGTATAGGAATGACTTACCGGGAACCCTGCGTACCCCGTCTGGGGTATCTGGAATGAAAGGGAAATGAATTGTGCACAATACAAAGTGTCTTAATTATTTTGGAGGATGAAAAACAAAGTGTATATGTATTTTACATTGCATAGTTATATAAAATTATAAAAAATATGACACTGAGGTAGAAATTTGAGAAAATAAGTGTTAATAAACTTAACACTACAATGTTAGTAATATTTCAAAGCTCCTAATTAAAGTAGCAGGGGAATGGCAGTGGTCAGGCAGAGAGGAACATTGCACAGCATGCACATCCATCCTGTGCGATGTCTGTTAGTGGTGGTAGCGCAATACTTGCACAAATGCCTATCAGAATTTTCTGTCTTATTTTTGGTTTTGGAAATGTTGCTTCTGGTAATGGTCAGTGTGGCCTGGGTTGCTTGTGCTGGCATGCACGAGTCGCTACTTTATTCCTGAACCGTTTCAGGGACATGCGTTTTTCTTTGAGGGACTTGCAGTCCCTATTGTAAAGGATCCAAGAATTGCAGACAGTAAGATCCAGAACACAGTTTCATATACCATCTTCTGGTCCTCATTTAAGTCTTGTATATATGGGTCAGCATGTCACTCTTATGAATACCACTCATATTTGACTTGTAAACTTAGATGACATTGGTGCAGGGAACCTCCACTTTCTTCTCGTCTTTGTTATCATACCTGAGGCATTTCTTGGATGGTTTATTGCCAGCATCAGATGACAGAATGGTGACGACTTTTCCTGTCTTTCCACTTACAGAAAAAGACCCCATCACCAGAACAGCAAGTGATGGTTTCTCTCTTCCTTGGTGTTATCTAGAGGTGGATTACCAATTCGATTCTCTCTTGCTGAACCCACATATCTGCAGCTGTACTGATGCTTGGGGTATGTAACAATGCCAATGCTAGTGAAGTTGTCAGCATTAAGTTACCGACTTCGCTAGACATGGCATTGTTTTAGCTAGAGCAATGGCAATCCTCGAGGTTACATTCATTGCTTCCTCTTCAGCAGTGAACTCTACTCCATGTGCATCGAAAGTTATGGCTCCCTGGTACATAAGAATGTCATGGATGAAGTCATTGGCACTTGCTCTGCAGGGGCTGGGGACAAATTGCTCCAGAGTTGACAAAAATGGAAATAAATCAGATATACTAATTTGGGGAAAGAATAAACTCTATCAGGAAAATTTCTTTGTACTTTATTTAACAATTGCTTATATCCAAGTATGTTCTATTTGATATATACAACACAGCCTAATACAGCGTACTGCTGTATGACATTTGTATGGTTGTAGACCCCCTGCTCCCACTACAAGACTTAAGAACATAAGAAAGAAGGAACACTGCAGCAGGCCTACTGGTCCATGCGAGGAAAGTCGCTCTACTACACTGTGAAAAAGAACAACTCTGACCTATTACTATGCTCATTCCGGTTCCAGAAATCAGTTTGAGTTAATTCCGCCCCACACACGATGAGTTGCAAGCTGAAATCTACTGTGATGTATTTTTGTTGTTGAATGCACTGATTTACCTTGAGGTCGCAGCAGCACTATACAACAGACCATGCCTAGTACGGTGTTGACTAGGTCTTACTGATTGGTTGACTGGGTTTAAATTCTATTTACTGCACAAAGTCATTAAGGCTGCATATACCCGATTCACCACCAGTCAAGAATATTTTAACCCCTGAAATATTGAAATATAGAATATATTAAACAGTGTAAATACATTGAAAGAAATACACCTCTCGGTGTGTAACCACTGAGAATACACCTCTCGGTGTGTAACCACTGAGAATACACCTCTCGGTCTATATACTAATTTGGTTTGTGGGTTAACGTTTAACGTTGTCTTTTTGTATTTGTAAAATGCACTTGTTAATTGTTTAAGGAATTGCTTATTAATTTCAGGGTTGTCTGCCGTAACATTAAATTCGGGTAATTTTGTGAGTGTCCCTGCCAAAAGTATCAGGTACCATAGGTCTAAGATAGGACCAGAAAGCCTGTGTCTGTGTACTCTTCCAGAGAATCACATTAAAACTGTGTTCTCTATTAGAATTTCAACACATTCCGTTATCTTGTACCAGGCTCCATCTCGTGGCTACCACCGCCGCTGCCGTCTTGCGCTCATCACTTTCTCTACCCTGTCTCACTGGCATCACCGTCTCCCACCCTCTCACTCTGTGTGACCATTGTCTCGATGCTGTCACTCTCAATGGTCACTGTCTCAAGGCCGTCACAAGTCATCACTGGGGTCAGGAGTGTTACACAAGAGGTCATTGACTATGTAAATTAACCGGCCTGGCGCCACAGTACTGCCTGTGGTAAAACATCGCACAGTGTCAGAGCAACACGCGGGAAGGTCGCAGGTAACCTGTACACAGAGATCAAGTATGCTTTAATTACTGAGGGAATAAAGTCAGTGTGAATATACCCGTGGTTTTACGGAGACGCGGGAGTCCTGCCCTTGTCATAATACAGTTCAATGTACTGTTCATGGAAGAAAGTGTATTAAATTATGAAATTAGGCTTATAAGCATCATGTGCTATGTATTGGACGTTACAGCCAACGAATCAACGTTACAGCCACCATCTTCCTCAACACCACCGTAACAAATACAATACCCAAAAAGTAAGAGTAAACAGTAGTAAAGAGGCTGCTACCGTGAGAAGCTGAGGTCCCCGGAGCACAGTACTCTCCACAACACACTCGTTCTCTCCACAAAAACACTACATATAGTACTGAACTATATCATCCTTTGCAAACGATACTAGAATCTGAAAACGCAGCAAATCTCCAAGCTGATATACCTTTGAAGAGTTTCGAGAGTTTCACTACTCTCGGATATATACAAAATCTTCCAGTGGAATACATAAAATATGATGTTCAGTGAGGGCAAATTTCAGCTGCTCTGCTATGGAAACCCCTCAAGGAAGGCTCCTTGACGCTGGTGAGGGGCTCTTGATCTAGGGAATTGGATCTGTGCTCCAGTTCCCTGAATTAAGCCTGAATGCCTTCCATCCCCCCATAGGCGCTGTATAATCCTACGGGTTTAGTGCTTCCCCCTTGATTATAATAATAATAATCTGCTATGGAAAAAGTGAGGAAATAAATTGGAATGTAGTATAAAACATACTCAAATTTCTCAGCAGAGTGGATGATTAATGTGATTTTAGAAGCCTTACATTAAAGCATCATTATTATTATTACAGCCGAGAGGAAAATGCTGGGCTGGATAACCAGAACCTTCAAAACAA